CACACACACTCATACATACAAACACGCACACACACTCATACATACAAACACGCACACACACTCATACAAACACACACACACACTCATACAAACACACACACACACACTCATACATACAAACACACTCATACAAACACACTCACACACACTCATACTCGCACTCACACACTCATACAAACACACATGCACTCTCATACAAACACACATACACACACACACACACTCATACAAACACACACACACTCATACAAACACATTCTCACACACACACACACTCACACACTCACACACACACACACTCATACACACTCACACACACACATGTTTGTTTTTGTGAATTGTGGGGACATTCCATAGGCGTAATCCAGGCAGTGTGTGTAAAGACTGTATTTCTGCGTTGTTGGAGTTTGTATTGGCTCAGTGATTTCTGAGCGTTTACTGAGCGCGGTGATTGTGAACAAACGCACTAATATTGAGAAATACTTTCAACATGTCTGCAATCCTCCACTTTCACTCTCCTGGATTCTGCCTGACAAAACACCTTTTTTTTTATCACAAAATTATTCTTTTTAAATGGACAGATCTTTACAAATGATTTTCTAAAAACGTCTAATCCCAATAAAATGGTGTTGTAGGAAAATGCAACTCTTTTGGCTGCTCTTTTCTTTCTGTGTAAGTGTGTGTGGGTGGAGATGATCGATCAGCTGCGTTCTGGCCCGTCGTCTTCACAGGAATAATGTGTTTTGAGTCAGAGGATTATTCAGGAACGTGCATTTAAAAATACATCTCGGCGTAATATGACAAGACTGAAAGAGCTGCTGCTAATCAGTGGATTAAAGTGAGCGTTAAAACGCAGCGTGTGTGGAGAGTGTCCAGGTCAAATCAAAGCCCAAACTCACAAGAAAGACTAAGAAGAACTTATTATTTTTAATGTAACCTATTTTTAGCATTGACATTTTATTAAGCATATTTACTGATGTTTTAAACCTATTTATACCAGTGTTATTTTAGTATTGATATACTATTGGTTTTAGACAGTTTAAATATATATATATATATAGTTTTTTAGTTGTAAATAAAACAGATTGTTCGAGTACGTTTTACAAGAAAATACTATTTCAGTCTTTCTACTTAAAAATTTCACATTTAATTCAATGGGTTACTTGCTGGGGGTTTTTTTTGTAATTGTGAAACTTTAGCAATTTATTAGTAAAAATTGTTTCTACACAATTTTTTTTCAGTGTAGTTAATATTTTGAATAGGATTCTATTTTTATATTTTCTATAAAATTCTTTTTAGTTTTAGTTAAAGTTTTGGTCATTTTGTTGTGTGCTTTTGTCATTTTTATTAGTTTGTTTTTTAATATGTCTATATAGTATTATTAAATCTATTCAGATCTGTTTATTAAATAATATTTCAATAGATTTTTAGTTAGTTTTTAATGTCTATAGTATTTATTAAATCTGTTAAAATCTATTAATATTAGTTATTTTAATATACTGAAAAAAATGTAATTATTGTTAAAAAATTATTAAGTTATTAAATTGTTAAATTATTATAACAGTTTTCACTCAGAAATTGCTAGTAAATGTCACAAATAATTACAAGGAAGTGTCAAGTTACACACTGAATAAAACATGAAATTTTAAAATAAAATAAAAAATGAATTCGTATTTTCTTGTAAAACATACTCCAAAAATCTGTTTCATTTACAGCCTGTAAAAACAATTTTTTACAGTATTTTTCACCATAAAATAAGAAATGTTTCCTTGTCAACTACAGTAGCTGTTTATATTTTAATTCAGTAATTACATTTTTTTTGTTTTATTTCAAGTAATGAACATTTTTAATGGTATTAGTTTTTTAAGTTTTAGTTGACGATAATAACCCTGATTTCCATGCATAATCTCTTAATAAATGTTTTATCCCTATTCTAACCCTTGATTAATTGCTGTAATGTGAATAGAAAATATTTATTTAAATTTTAGAATATACATCATGGCAAAAAGTCTTAATGGCCTTAAAAAGGGTAGTTTTTATTTATTTTAAAATATTATTTCTTAGTTGTTTTTTTTTTGTTTGTTTTTTTTTTGGGTGGGATTTGAGTTTTTCAGTCAGATGTTATTGTTTTCTCTCATTCTGTGTGTGTCAGACAGTGAAATCCCAGCGGAAGCTGAAGCAGCTCATGATGAGTGAATCCCGGTGTGTTTGTGTCGCGGGTTCAGGAGTCTCTTGCATCCGACGTGGGTGTGTGTTTGTGTCGGAATCTCAGGGATGAGCTGACATGATCGGGAATCTCTCTCTCCTCCTCCTGCAGGCACAGACAGCTGTTAATTTGCGAATAAATCAGCGGCGTTCAGCGAGGGATGGATAAATGACAGTGCCTGCAATTAATTGCGCTCGTTTATTTGGAGTGGCACGTCAGCGTCTGAACGTGTGTCATAATTAAAGCCCTGCAGGACCGTGATGTGGCGTTACGGAGTCGATGACTTAAGTGGCGTTTTAGAGTCCCATTTAAACTCCAAACAATGGCTAATGTGCCGTAATTATCCCATAATAAAGTGTAAGTGTCTCTTATAGAGCAATAACAGTCCCGCGGAGAGACGAGGAGGAGGGATGTGAGAGAGGAAGAAGCTTCACACATCAATTAAGAGCCTGGCAGACACTGAGGAGACGCGATGAAGAGCAGAACCTCACTAACACACACACACAGTCATTGTACAGCATTACTGTACTTAGACAAATAGGCCTTAGTCAAGTCACCTTTATTTCTATAGTATGGAAGCCTGTTTCTGCCATAGAATAAACAAATAAAAAAGGTAATTGCAACTTTTTATCTCACAATTCAGACTTTTCTCGCAATTCTGAGAAAAAAAAGTAAGAATTGAGAGATATGACCTCGGAATTGCGGGATATGAACTTGGAATTGTGAG